ACTGACAATGCAGCGGCAGCCTAGAAACCCCTCCCCACTTTGTTGTATCCATTAATTGTACCTGCCACACTCCCAGGCTGCAGTTCAGGCGAGCTGATCTAAATGGCTTTGTGATGTTTTAAAAAAGCGGTTTAGTGATGAGGTCAGGCCTGGCCAACAGGTTTGTTTATTGATAAATCCCCCAGTGTGGTCAACCCCTGTCGGCTCAGCCTTTGAGCTCGCTTGACGATGATGTAATTACCCCAAGGCTTCTATTGGGTGATGTGTTTGCTAACTTGTGTGTACATTCATTGACCATCTGGGCTGACGGCGGCCAATTAATTGTTAGCGCATAATTACCATTCTCTGGGACGTTTAAGATTATGTTTGTGTGACACCTGAATTCCTCGGCTTACAGTTTACATTGGCGTGTCGCCCATTTACCGACGGCTACAAGAACAAGTCTGGCGGCTGAAGAGGAAAGACAGCTGTAGGTTGAAAAAGAAAAGAAGAAGAAATGTGCAAGGTGGAGCTAGAAACAAAGTTTAGACCCCCCCAAAAAAACGCAAGAACATAGCAGCTGTCTCATTTTTTATTCCCTCTGTATCCCTGCAACTCACCAGTCTCCCTCTCCTCCCGCTACTCCCTATTTCCATCTCCCAGCGTCTCTTAATTACACCCAGTGTTTGCACTGTGGGAATACACATGCCACTAACTTCCCTGACTTGTTGTACTCTTCACTAAGCGTGATGGATATGCTGGTGGGTGGAGGAAAGAGAGATGGGTGGTGCATGTGTGCAGGTGTTGTGCATCACGGCTCCTTTGTACTGTGCGCACAAAACAAGGACACGCTGTGAACTGCCATGAAATTATGTGGAGAGGTAGATTAGAAGAAGCCAGTGCTAACTTTTCTCCCTCTGGCTCCCTCCATCCACCTCATCCTCTTCCTTTTTTCTCCTTCGTGTCATATGCAAAGAGACTTTAGAGGAGAGGAGCCCATCGCAGTGTGCGTCCTTCACATACCACATCATCACAGTGTATTGACACATAATAAGAGGCTCGTCTCTCCTTCGTTCCCATCCTTAATAAGCCTTTTCACTTCAGCACATTTGTCAGAGTGGAGCTCAAAAGGAGAACACGATGTAAAGAGCTTGAGAGGTTGGCTTGAGGTTTTCATATGCAAAGCAGCACTGTGTGGCAACATCTCTTTTTTTTCTTGCAGGTAATGTGTGATCTGAGGGACTGAGCTGGAGAGCGACAAACTCACTGACATCCCCAGCAAGCTGCATTTTTGTCTTTCTTTCTCTCTCGCCACTTATATGGCGTTTATACACTTCTCAGGCTCATTTTTCTCCTTCCTCTGCCTTATTTTTTAATTTCTAAATTGTTTAGAGATACACACACCAATGAAAGGAAAAGGAAGGACGACAATGCCGTATTCAAATGAACAAATAAATCAAAATACCTTTGAAACATCATCATAATAAGATAAAGGTTGGATAACACCAACAAAAGTGGGCTCAGTGAGCATTTTCAGCTGATCCTTGTCTTCTCCAGACAAGAATACTTCAGCTGGACCTAGATCCCTGCCTTTTCTGAGGAATTCAATGCAAATATGTTCTCACACCAGCACAACTGCATCAATCCTAAAAAAAGGAGACACATGCAGATGCAGCTCTTGACCAATAGTACCCTCTCTAGCTCAGTGGCGGTACTGCATCCCAAGTCCCAACATGGTTTATAATAGAATTTCAAGAGAGGCAGAGTGATGAGCTCGTTATTCTCTGATCAGGGCGATTGATCAGTGGCATTGGTCGACCCTGGCCTTTTACTCGTGGCTTCTATGCTATTGACTCTTCCTTCACTCAACTGTCTGCTCAGGGGTAAACATACGATGCAGACAAGGACAGATAGACAGGCATGATTATCACATGCACAGACACCTCTGCCGTGTAGTGCTGCATATATAGTTTGGCTATTTCGATTACTTTCAGGTATTTTGTATTTTGGTATTTGCCAGGGCAGAAAAAATTCAAATGTAATTTGTAACAAGATCCATTGATTCATAAAACGTAAAAAAACAAGACCAGGTCAAAATGTAGTAAATTGCTAGACTGTGTTGGAAGCCTGTAGGGTTACAAACTGATTAAGCCTTTTCGCTCAATTTAACACAACCCTTTGCTGTATCTTTGCCCATCTTTGTGTGTGTGTGTGTGTGTGTGTGTGTGAGTGTGAGTGTGTGTGAGTGGAGGGAGGGCTATTGCATCTGTGTGTTTATGCGTGCACATCTGTGTTTTCTGTGTGAAAGCCTGTGCAGATGAGTGTGCGCGTGTGCATTGGTAGGTTTTATGTAGTATGTGTGTGTGTGTGTGTTTGTGTTTTACCCCGTCGGAGAAGCTCAGCTGCAGTGCAGTGCCGGGTGCCATGCTGGTACTAATTAAACATTCTCATCAGTCCATTGGCTTAATTAGATGTGTCTGTTTCCTTGACTGCAGAAATGAAAGAAAGCTAAAAGAGGTGTGAAAGAGATAAAGATGGTTTTAAAGAAGAGCAGGAGTGAATGGAAGAGAAGATAATTTGTCTGTGAGCCAACAAGTGTGTTGGTTTGAAAAGTTCTGTGTGCTAATGAGATGTGTGTGTGTGTGTAGGCAGGGTGAGGGCTTTTGGGGTTTGTCAGAGTTGCGGGTTGGAACGCTGCAGGCATCCCTGCTCCATCTGGTATTAGCTGTTCTGTTATTGACCAAAGAGTGCCCTGCACAAACATACACACATACAGGCGGTGCGCTAATATCATATTATGTGCTGTGTTCCAGTGTGATCAGCAGAGCCCCGGGGCTGAAGCTGGTGGTGGAGACTCTGATGTCATCGCTGAAGCCCATTGGCAACATCGTGGTCATATGCTGCGCCTTCTTCATCATCTTTGGCATCCTGGGAGTGCAGGTGAGAGGGGAGGAAAGGGAGAGTGCAGACAGAAATAATGAGAAAACAAAAAGACAGTCAGCAGTCTAGACGGCTGTGACACAGGAACATTATCCTCATCCCACCACACTACAACAGTTGACATGTGACAGATATTCCCACAATTCTTCACTTTCTCCTGTCCCATCGTGGTAGTACATACATCACGAACACGTAGCAGAAAAATTGCTTTTCCATGCACTCTCCCCCATTATAACTCATACTCTACGACACTTATGAATACTTATCTGGTCGCAATGCAGATTTCATGGCCAACAGCCCAAGGACCAATCTAAACCAACGAGCTCTTTGCCCTTGCCGCAGTTCAGGCTTCCGCCTAATAATCATGTTTATGTCCATAAACCATCTGTCCAAGTAAAGTAGTGTTGTAAAGTGTTAATGGCTGTGACAGTGGTATCAGGGGGTAGTGATTTGAAGTGTCCATTCATTAAAAGACATCCATAGGATTCACTGCATCATCCGTAACCTCTGTCGTTGAAAATATTTGTACTTTTAAGCCGCGTTTCCACCAAAAGTACCAGGGACTTTTAAGTCCCCGGATCTCTTGTCAAGAAACTAAAAGGTTCCTTCAGCCCTTTGTTGTGTGCACAGGCACCATTATTTGTAACCACTGTCCATGAGCAAAATTTATAAATGAAGATCAGATTTGTTTGGAATATAATGAGAAACTTTAGGTATAGTCTATGCTTGACCATTAAAAACAGCTTTTTTGTGTGGGAGTATAGAGAGACACACGATAAAGTTCGTTACACATTTAATAACAAACTGGATAAAACCATCATGTTCATAAAAGAACTCCAGCACAGAGAAATTAACACAAAAATAAAATCGTGAAAGTTTGGAAGGTTATTAAAACATTTCCAGCCAACAAGAGCTGCAGATCAGCTGGCAGCACTCGTCTGTGTCCGCCTGAGTGTTGGAGGCACGTGATATTTAACAAGCTTTATTACCTGCTGTAATCACGCCCCCCAATTTCATAAACCAAACTTACCACAAATAGCAAAACTCAATTTTATGGATCAGTTTTCACTTGGGGTTTACTGTAAAATAAAGGGTGGGTCTGTGTGTTTCTCCCCAGCTCTTCAAGGGAAAGTTCTTTGTTTGTCAAGGAGAAGATGTTAGGAACATCACCAACAAGTCGGACTGTTTGCAGGCCAACCACAAATGGGTCAGACACAAGTACAACTTTGACAACCTGGGACAGGTGAGGCCTCATAAATGCCAAGATTTTTTATCAATAAATACATAAATAAATGTTTTGTTGAACTCCTTCATCCCTTCTTCCCTTTCACTGCCTCAGGCATTGATGTCTCTGTTTGTCCTGGCGTCAAAAGACGGCTGGGTGGATATTATGTATGACGGACTAGACGCTGTAGGAGTCGACAAACAGGTAAATATATTAAAGCTCACTTACACACGTATCTGGACACACAAACACCCGTGTACACACGAGTAAAATACATCATTTGACTACAGCTGAAGGAAAATCATTTGGGACCATCCACTCAAAAAATGTATTATGTCCTGCGTGTGTTTCAGCCCATTATGAACTACAACCCATGGATGCTGCTGTACTTCATCTCCTTCCTGCTGATTGTGGCCTTCTTCGTGCTCAACATGTTTGTGGGCGTGGTGGTGGAGAACTTCCACAAGTGCCGGCGCCACCAGGAGGCCGAGGAGGCCAAGCGCAGGGAGGAGAAGAGACTGAAACGCATGGAGAAAAAGAGACGGAGTAAGGAGAAGGAGCTGGCTGGTCGGTAGTCTTTCCACATCTTTCTGAGTCCTGCTTGATTTGAGCCTGAGCCTTTTTTTTTTTTTTTGCTTTTTGATTTGGTTTGGCCGAATCCGGAAGAACGCAATTAGTGAGCTAGTACCAACTACAGTTGCTGCTCTGCGGTAGAACCCTCCCTTTACCCTCGACCATCCTCTTTTCCCTCCGGCTAGTTTTTGTTGAAGTTCGGTGGTCACCTATCTTGGCTCTGCATACTCTGCTACAGACTGTGAAGGCTCTTCTTCAACTCCAGAATCAAATTCATGCCGGATGTTAAGAAAAGCTTCCATAATCAGCAGGTTTGCAGAGCTAGGACAGCTGACCGTCGGTGTTAGCCCCCCTACCTTTCCTTCCTCCCTTACCTTGCCTGGTCGTCCGTAAACGCCGTGCTTGGGATGGCCCCTTGGAGCATGCCCAGTGAGTGCTGACAGATGGGGCTTGCATGGTGGTGGATATACAGAGCTAGAGGGAGGGGGAGTTGTCGACCCCCCTCCCTTCCCCTCTTCTGCATGTGGTTTAGTACAGCCGCAGGGGCAGGGATAAACTAAAATCTGGAAGAAAACGAAGAGTTTCCCCATAGTTTTTACTGTAGATCACTTTGGGTGAGATTTGTAGGAGTTAGCATTAATTCCCTGCTTGTTCACCCTCCCCTCCGGCTGTATAGGAGTTGGTGACAAACTGCTTGGTTTGTATTTTTATTCTTTCCACTGCCTCCTAGGCTCAAAAACACAAGAGCTAGCATCTGCTAGCACTAGACTATTTGTGAATTAGTGCCTATACTTAAAGTTACCGACTTAATCCAACGGCACTTTCTTTTAAAATTCCTACAAGGAGCAGTGGACACTATTGGTTCCTTAAAGCTGAAAAAATCCCTTTGTTTTCTGTCTCTATGACATGATAATTGTATTTGACGATAGGAATGTTTCCATCCAACTCTTGAGAAATACAGATGGAAATTGATCTTCCTTTTTCAGGAGGCGTCTTCTAAGGGTACCCGACCAATCGAGAAAAACTCTCCCAGACCCTTGCACAATCAGCATAACACATGTACACTTTATATCTCGAGGCCCTTCCCTTTTTCTTGAAAGCACACAAAATCTTTCATATTTCTACGTCCGTTTCCCTGTTTTTGCTTTTTCCTTTTCAAATTTTTGTTTTGAAAAGTTTGTTGCATTTTTGTCTGGCTTGGTGTTTTTGGCCAGGAAAGGTGTTTGGGGGGGGGGGGGGGGCGTTGGTTTATTAGCAAAATAGCAACACAAAAATGCAAAGTAGCTTATAGAAAGAGAGATCTTACTGGCGAAACTCAATAGAGTACAGTTTGTAAAGTGGTTGTATGTCTGCTTTGGTTTAAGAACTTTGGTTTAACAGTCAACGGCTTCCTGATTGTTACAAAGCAAAAAAGTGTCAATCGAAAGAACTGGACTCAGAATCACTGGAAAGACAAAACATAGGAACATAAACCAGCTTAATCTTTCATCGCTTCCTTCTGGCCTTACTCCATCTCTCTTTCCCTCTTTCTCTCTTTAACTCTCTCCTGTTTCTTACTCTGAGTCATCCTTCCTTCCTTGCATTCTTCTGCTTCTCCCTGACTAACACGGTCTCATTCCTCTAGATTTATTGGTTCCGGGGGTGAGTTGGGCCCTCTCTGAAGGCACATTGAAAGGTACAGAGTTTCCAGCATGTTCTGTGTGTCCCTTTAAACCCCTCACCACCACCGACCACGACCACCCACCATGGTGGCTAGGGTCCTAAGTTCAGTGATCATGGGAGGTAGGGCCCCATTCTGCGTCCCCGCCCCCCTGCCTCTCTCCCATCAGCCCTCAGTCCGCTGGACATGCTGTTACCTGTTTTCTCTGTCGTGGCTTTGTCTTTCACAGCTCTTCCACGCCGTCCGCGATCCATCCACCGTCCACAGCACTGCACCGCTGCACCACCACCACAAAAGAAGAAGGCTCTTGTCTAGTTAGGTTGGCAGGAAAACTGGGATGGAGACATGGTGAGATAGGGAAAGGGTACTTTTGTCTCATTATAGTGGTTTCAGTAGACATTTAAAGAGTAATTCCAGTTTATTACATCTCAGGCCGTATTGTCATTGTGGTGACCCTTTTCCGCTGGTTGTGATAAAATTGTGCTCTCCAAAGTAATTCCTGAAGGAACACAGTGACATAACACAAAGTGTGACAGGGCAAGAGATATTAGAAGTAAAGGATTGGTTACAGGTTGTAATAATTATTTGAATATACTTCAGTACAGACCTCTAGAGGATAAGTCAGGGGATCACCAAAGTCACTGGAATTCATCCACTTGGAATCATGAATATCTGTACAAAATGTATTGGCAATCCATTCAGTAGTTGTTGAGATAATTCAGATTCCCAGTTGAAACTTCTGACTTCCGACCTCCAGGTGCATAGTGGTGCATGACGCCGAAAGTGAACGAAAACCATGGCTGACCGTGACAAAGTGGACACACAGTAGCACCCTCAGCAGTGTTTTAGGTGTTACTTGGATGGCAGTTTAACTGCAACAACTGACATAAATAGCCTCTACGTAACTAGTTAACCGTGTACCCCTCTAGCAACATCAGTTGGTGTTGCAGGTTACACTTCCTAATGTTGTGGCATTTTTAACAATAACTTTTATGCAGAGAAGATGACTTTATGAGATTCTTTACTGTAGCCAGCTACCTAATAGGCCTAACTTATTTCTGCATCAATGTACATGCAGAACAGGTTTTACTATATGATTGTATATGTATTATTTTAATTTAAATACATGCAAATATACTTTTTGTTGCTTTTAGTTTATGGTTTACCATTTACAATGTGTGCATCCATGGGAGCTGCCATTGTTTTGTGACGTCATTCAGCTTCTACTCGTGAAGTTGGGGTACATATTTTTTCTCCGAGTTCACTTGTAGGAAATCCGACTTCAAGTGGCGTTCCAGGATAGTTTTTCTAGTTGGAGATCGGAAATTTCCGAGTTCCAAGTTGCCTGGAACACAGCACAAGAGTCCACAGCCACACTGGCAGCTCTGTGGGACTCTACTTAGGCATAATAATACTTTGAGGTTACCACCTTAGCATGCTAATATTTGCTGATTAGTTCTAAACAGAAAATCCACCCGAGGCTGATGGGAATGCCATTAGTTTTGACATTATTTGGTCAAAAACCAAAGTTTTGGACAAGTTGACATTTTGACTTGATGGAGATAGATGAAAGGAAGTGTTAAGGAATCACTAAAGTTTGGCTGTAGGGCCAATAACTATGGTAAGTTTTGTAGGTCAAAGTTGATACGGGAAGGGTCTGTAAACTGTGATGGATGTTTACAACGGACACCTTAGGTAATTATTTTATTTTTTATTTGGACTTGCTGAGTACAAGGTTATTATTACCAACATGAATAATGGCCAAAGCTGTAATAATAAGTTGTGATATCTCAGACTTAAAAAAGAATTGTCCTTTACCATGACTAACTTGATGTATTTCTCTCTCATTGTGTTGTGTTGAGCTTGATCGGGTTGTATAAGGGAGGCCATCTTGGATGAACAGATTCTCTCTCTGTTGCTAACATTCTCTAATAACATCCTCTATTAAAGGTTACTGGCCTCCATAAAAGGACATTGGACCACAAAACTCAGTCTAGAACATTGTGTTACTTTCCCATTGAGTCTGTGCTTGACTTTAAAGTGTTAATGACAGTAAATTAAACTGCAACAAACTCTAACTAGTTTTTCTAGCGGCAATCTCCACATCTGGGTTCCAAATAGCTTGTTTCACTTACACGGATGGCTTAAATAGTTTCTTTGGTGGAAAATGATCTATTTCTAGTTAATCAGATGTCCTTCAGTTGGATACTGTTATTAAATCATGGTCTAAAATAGAACTAAAGCTCTTGCCAAACTGCATACATTTGTCTCGACCTAATGGCTGATTTACTACAGCACACTTTGTACAAAGGTCACCGAAGTACAAGTTGCTATTAAACGAGACCACTGCAGGTTTGTTAACAGGGGTTGGCTCTCGTTGGATATAAAGGTCGCCTCAGGGCTGTCTGACCACCCTGACTGGTTTGCTGTGGCAAACTGTTTCCATGGCAATCTGGTAATGGTATTTATACGACAGGCGGGAGCTGCTGTGAGGTGTGTTAGACGATGACGACCCCTTCCCTAACTCGCATAATGAAAGTGGTGTGGGTGTGTGTGTGTGGGTGTGTGCTGTGTCTTTGTTTGTACATATATTACCAGGTGCAATGTCTGTTAAATAGGGGCACATTTCTGGAAGGTATACTTGGCTGTGCAAGACTGCATTTGTGTGTGCATGCACGTGTGTGTGTGTGCACATGTGAGTGTGTTAGGGAGCAGATGGTTGCAGAACAGGTTGTAAAATATGCAGGAGCAGCTCTCATCCCCAAATCTCCTCTCCATTCAGTCTGGATGACTGTCTGAGAGGCGAGCAGGACCCCTGCACCCCTTTGTTGATCCTATGTGGCATTTCAAGTGCTTGCTGTATTTTGATATTTTTACCCAAAGGTAATTACAGAAGTGCCAAGACCATAAAATACAGCGTCCACACAGTGTGTCGCTTGTGTATTTGTGTTAGGGTGGTCAACACTCAAACAAGGTGCTTGTGTGTAGGGGGGGCTTGCAGTGTGTTTGTGTGTGGACTCTTATCTGTAGCTTGCACTGCACTGGCGCTGCCTTTTCTGGAGGCTAGATGGAGGAGAGGAACAAAGAGGAGAGGAGATGATGGGGGAGGCGCATTATGATTTTGACTGACAATGGAGGGAGGAGAAGAGATACATTGGGATGGAGGGGGAAAGTGGTTACACAGACAGAAGTACATACACACAGTGAAAAGATGGATCAAATTGTAACTATGCAACAATGTAACTATAGACACGCATAGATTAGAAACGCATGTAATCACATAAGAGCCGTGGACTTGAGACTTGGAGTCGAGTCACATGTAAGTCACACAGAGATGACAAGAGCATTGACTTGGGCTTAACTACTCTGAGAATTGGCTTGAGCAGTCACACGTTTTCTTCTACAAGTCAATACTTTGGGTTATCTGCTGTGGTCAGCATGCTAACATAATAACAATGCTAACATGCTGCAGGTATAATGTTTATAATGTTGAGCATGCTTACATTTGGTAAGTAAACAAGTACAGCTGAGGCTGATGATTAGTTTTGCAGGTATTTGGTCATCAACAAAAGTTGTGGACAAATTAAAACCTTACGATGGCCCTCGTGGAAATGTCAAGGGCTCACCAAAGCATAGCTTGTCTTGAAGGGAAAATGAATGTCCACCAAATTTTATGGCAATCCATCCAAAAGTTGCCAAGACATTACACTCAGAACTCCAAATGGGAGCCTACATAGATACATATATATAGATATCTGTACCAAATTTTGTGATACTCCATCAAACAGT